TTGAAATGAATGGGAGCTTTTTGGAGCCCAGCCACTAGAAACATTGGAGAACCAATCTGATTTAGCTTTGCTACCCATCATTTCAGGGTCTGGACCCACATCATGCCCTCTTCATTGCCTTTAGTTCATGTTAAAGAAAATCCATACAATAGCTAACTGTGTGAAAGTTATCTTGGCTAGCCTTGTCATCTTATTATAATTCTAGAGGAAATGTCTGTATCTGTCACTGAATGCATTTAAAATAGAGAATGTGGAAAATGAGATACAGAGATCTTGTAGGACAATTTAAACATAAATTCTTCAGGGTTTGCATTGTTTTCACATGGAGGGATAGATCTTGTTCAATGGCTATAATACCTAAAAATGAATGAAGCAATAATCCTGAATGGATTGATGACGTAGGGTTTACCCTTGCTGCTGGTATTCTTTCCTTGAGGCCAGGTATACTAGTTGATAGGTAATCCTGCAATGTTTAGATGCTGATATCACATTTCTACAGTGCAAGATTTGGTCATGGAGAGATGGGCACAAACCAGTTCATGATGGTTTGTCCTTCGAACAAGCAGAACCTTGGCACTTCCCAATCCTGCCTCCTCCAGTGGGCACCCACTCAGAGGCAGCAGCTGGAAGAAGCAGGGCAGGGAAACTGAGGCACTACCCCTAAGTGCGTGCCTGCCATTGGAGGTGGGCCTGGGAACTGCCAAGCACCTGTTCGCCTGAAGGATGAACCGGCAGTATGGGCCCATCCCTAGTCATGACCAAAACATGTGATAGATACATTTGTAGGAGAAGCCTTTCTCTCAGTCCCACCATCTTCACAGGTGAGTCTGATGGAGACACAGGAGAGGGCTTTCTCGGTGGCTGCTCCCAGACCCACAAGAGGCCAGACTGGTCCCATCCTTGCTGTCCTTCCACAAACAGGAAAAAAAGACATTTCTCTTCAGGCAATCTTTCCCTCAGTGACTGGTCTGAGCTCTCTTTGAGCCATGAAACTCTCTCAGCCTGTCTAACCTATTTCACTAGGTTGTTGTGAGGATAAAGTACAGATGAGAGCGAAGTATGCCACCATGAATTTCTTGAAGGAAAGAAAGGATAAATGTAACAAAGAAATAAACAAGCCAGTGCAGTTGAATCTTAAAAAGTGACAGAGTTATTTTGATAGAAAAGTAGAAGACCAACAAAGTATCATAGTTTAAAATGGGCAGTTTTCATGCTCAGCTGCTTTGCATGAAATACTAAAAAGAGAGAGAGAGAGAAAGAAAAAAAAAGAAATGAGAGAAGTAGTCCATAAGGTTCTGCAAATTTTCACCTCACCATACCCATTTTGACTGAACCTGAGATTATCATCCTTTGGATACCATACATCTAATAACTCACTGGATAACTCAGTGGTTGAGGCATCTGACTGCAGAGTTCGATTCTCAACTGTGCTTCCTAGGAAAAGGGCCAACCTGTGTGGCTTTGAGCAAGCTGCAAAGTCCCACAGCACCCCAGAAGAAGGGAATAGTAAACCATCTCTGTGTACCTAGAATTTTCTACCTAGAAAATTTTGAAAAGGGCCACCATAAGTCAGACTTGACAACACACGATAATTATTAGTTGGTGGTGACCCTTACCTTCATGATATGTTGACTGTTGAGCTTTCCCTTCATTACTGTAACCTTTACTCATAAGCTATTAGGAAAAAGACTGAATGTCTGTTCTTACATAGGCATATGACCAATTTCCAGAGCACTGATTCATCCTGTGTGACCTCCGTTTTATGCCTTACTTCCTTTTCATTATTTCTGTCCTTGTAAGTCAGATTCATTTATGTCCTTCATCTAATTTACTGCTGCTATGTCAAGGCCAGCAGAAATGAGTCATTTCAGTTGGGACTCATCTCCCAATTAAATCAAATCCATACCTAGGAATGTTATGGTGATGGGATGAAGTCGTATCATATAGTACAGGCAGGGGTTGGAAGAAGGGGATCCAGAGAGGAGAGAAAGTAACCTAGCATTGAAACCTGGAAATAGTGCCAAGTTACCAAAGAGGCCATTCTGGTTTGGGGTTTCTGAGAGGTGAAATCCAAACTGTACCTTTTCCGGGCTCTGCTTAGTATTTATATGGTTAGGCTTATTGCCTTATTATGTAATCCAACTTTAAAAAGTTGGATTTTTTGAATAAAAAAATAAATACATCATACATTTCAGTTATTTGACTACAACTGGATGTAGTGAGCAGAATACTGAGAGCAGGTTTAAATTTTAGTGAATGGGAGTACCATTTCCTCTCTACATACATACTGTATCTTTATTTTCACAAGTTAAGAAAAAAAGGATCAGGATGCAAAACCACTAGTCCCCTGAAGGGTAGCTTGACTGTAGAGATACCCCTGCCCTTGACTGAGAATGGAATGGCTGCTAAGCAGTGGAAAGGCCAGGAAAGAGTGTGTGTTCTGGACCATTTCAGAGGTGGCTCAGAGGATGCTTTGGGGCCACATGATTCGCAGCCCCCTTGTTCCTCAGACATGTCACCAGAGCCGCTCAAGTTATTTACCCTCCCATTAGAAACAATCCCCTACCACCAGAATAGGGCAAAGTGATGGAAACAAGAAGCCGAGTGGTCTGTCAAAGAGGCAGAAAAATCCCTTGACCTTCCTCCCCACTTTGTGCCCTGGAAACAGACACAACCGGTGTCTGTTTCTCCAGCCAGAATTTATATACATTTGGACTACATTTCCCAGAGCCTCTCAGCTAAGGTGCCCTCTGGCTAAGCTGGCTGGAGTCTTCTGGGAGTTGTAGTCCAAAAAAAGTACATTTTCCATGGTATGCCCCAGTGACACCGATCCGTTCCCCTCGTTGGACTGCTGTGTCTGACCACTTTGTGCCCTGGAAACAGACACAACCAGTGCCTGTTTCTCAAGCCAGAATTTATATATACATTTGGACTACATTTCCAAGAGCCTCTCAGCTAAGGTGTCCCTCTGGCTAAGCTGGCTGGAGTCTTCTGGGAGTTGTAGTCCAAAAAAAGTACATTTTCCATGGTATGCCCCAGTGACACCGATCCGTTCCCCTCGTTGGACTGCTGTGTCTGAGACTTGTGTCTAAAGCAAAAGTTGCCAATTCAGGGGAAAGAGTTTTTAGGGGAAGATGGGGCCCCCTGCCCTAGTAGCTATAATCCTATGCCGAGTCCCTGAAAAGACAGTGGAGAGCCATGATTAGATCTCCTAGGTCAGACGCAACAGTGATGGACGTTTAATAAATCCTGGAAATCTTCCGTTCCCCTGCACTGAAGAGTAACCCTGCGTTCAGGCACGCTTAACTGTGCTCACTCAACAGATGTGGAGGGTCATGCCATGGCCACCACCCCTCCATTTTCCATCTGCCTGCTTGGAAAGCAACAGATCTGAACAGAAAAACTTCAGCCTGTGAAGGCTGTCCATGTGGGATGCACGTGTGTTCTGTGGCATCCAGTCAGAACCAACTTACAGCATCCCTAACAGGAGTGGTTTTACCAGTTCCACTCTCCCAGTCAAGTGTCCATTGCTTAAACGGGGGGGGGGGGGTTGAGACATGTTCTCCAGAGTCCTGGTCCATCACTCAATCCACTACACCACCCTGGGGATCCCACATAGGACAAAAAGAGGAAAATCAACATCCTCCGGATGTTTGTATTGATGATGGGGATGGCATGTTCTCTTCCCCACCTGTTCAATGAATAATTTAAGGATGCCTGAATAGGGCTAGTAGATTCAATGGGACTTACTTCCAGGTATGTTTTCCAGCCTAAACCCTACCAATCAGCATTGAAAGGCTTGCCTTTTTCTAAAGGTAGTTGTCTATAAATATATACAATATTTGACTGCTATTCTTCCTATTGAATATTATTTCAGGAAATGCAAGCAGCTGCACGAGTAACTCCTTGTGGACAGTCCAAAGCTAAAAGCTTGTTCATGAGTTGATTGCAGTATCAAAACTTTACTAAGGCTGCAGTCCCAGGAACAGTTTACACGAGAGTAGATTCCACAAGTAGATCAGAGAATCCTGGAGATAGTATGTTCAGGATTGTACTGCATGGACACAGCTTCCCTGAATCCGGATCCCAAATATGACAAAAGGATGTCTTATTCCACAAGGACTCTAGAGAATTAACTCTGCCTTTTCATCAGTGCTCATTTTTTGTCTCCCCACATTTACAACAGAATCCTAATCTTCTTTTATTTTAAGTGCTTCTGCCTTCAGTTCACTTCTAGTTTAGTTGTCAGAGGAAGGTGGCAGCATTCATTTGGATGTCAATTTTTCCTTTCCATTTTTTATTCATCCATTTTAATGTCATTCTATTATATTAAAACGAAACATTAAGAACAAGAACGACCACCACTCAAACTTCTAATGTGCACCTCAGTGTGGGAAAAGATCCTTATCCAGCAAAACAAAGGCTTGAAAATAAAGACAACAAGATCAAGCTACTCACCCAGCAGTTGGCAATGCTAAATACTTTGCGAAAGGAAGGCGAGATAACTCCCCAAGGAGTGTTGTGTTTGCTTCTTCTCCTTTCAGCTTCAGAATGTAGGGCTGTGGGTGCAGAGAGAGAGAGGGGGGCGTGGAAACAATGAGAGAAATGTAATCTGATCTTTCTGTTCCAGCTGTCACTACAGCTGCAAGAGCCTGATGTGGTTACACAGCCCAGAGGTTGCACCTCTTCGCTCCAGAGTGGCTTCGGGATTCCGAAAGATCAGCTGCAAAGAGGAAATATCAGAGCTTCCTGTTTGGAGCACAATGCCCCTGCCTGTCTTTAAACGATTCCCCCTGCCCCTCCCCCGGCCAGCTTTCCCTAGGACATGTCTTGCTTTCTAATGTATGGGAAACAGGATGAACAGAAACCATCTGACTAATAGCTGGCTGCATTCGCAGACACCCCCCCCCACATTTCTTGTTCCACAAAGAGTTAATATAAAACTGGCCTTTAGTGCTATCCAAAATACTGCATGACAGCATGTACAGACTTGGGTTGCAGGTTGGTAGATTCCGTGAATTCCAAACATCCCTGTTTTATCAGGGACAGCTGGTGTTTTTGGACAGCTATCCATCTGTAGCCAAGCAATGGTGGTTTCTGTTTTGCTTTCATGTCTTTAAAATATAGTACTACTCTGCTAGGGATGGGGGAACTGACCAGTTTCTTTTTCATTCAACTAAAAAAGAAAACACCTTAAAGTTATTTCCTTTGAAAATGTAGGATTTGCCAATGTGAGCATATTCTCCATGGATGAAATGAAACAAACTTTGGCTCCCTTTGCCTAGCCAAATTCTACTGATACAGCTATGCTTAGCATGGAGGGGTTCAACCTGTACCTTCCAATCACGAAACTGTCGAAAACACCTTAAAGTTATTTCCTTGGAAAATGTAGGATTTGCCAATGTGAGCATATTCTCCATGGATGAAATGGACCAAACTCTGGCTCCCTTTGCACTGGCCAAATTCTACTGATACAGCTGTTCTTAGCATGGAGGGGGTCAACCTGTACCTTCCAATCATGGAACTGTCAAAGAGAAGGAGTGTGTGTGTGTGTGTGGGGGGGAGAGTGGCAATCTTAGTTCAAAGTATGCCCACAGAGGGATCTGCCTTGGGGTGATGCATACTTCTTTATACCACCATGTGGCATTTGAATCATTGTCACGGTTCATACAGAAATTTTAAAATATTCCAAGAAGATACATTCCAAGTCTCCACATGTCACAGGGCTCCCCTTCTTGCCCACTTTTCTCTGCTATTAGCCCCACCTTCTTACCTACCCCTTCTTCCAGCGTTTTAATCCCTTCTTCCTTTTAAGGTCTGCCAAGTGAAATTGCACTGAACCAACAAGACATGGAAAGCATTTCAATTAGTGCTGTAGTAGGTGAACAAATGTTTTTAGTCCTTGCCAATGTGAAGGGAAGGCAGGCAAAACGGGTAGGTTTCATGATGGCATCAGGACATGCCCAACAATAGGTTCAGGGGATCAATATCAGTGATCACAGAAGCCAAAACAAGACAAAATAAAGGGATAAGCCCTGCCAGCCAAACAACATAGACCCCATCCTCCTGCCAAAAGATCTGATCTACTTGCGATGAGTGCTAAAGTCATGAAGTCAACAGAAAACACATTGAGAAGAACTGTGGGAAACATGCACAGATAATGCTCACTAATGCAACCATGCTTGAATAGATAGATATCAAAAGCCAGAGCGTTTGTATTTAATCAACTAAAGAGCTGGAAAATATGGAAAGAACTGCCGGTTCTGGGTTTCCCCCCCATTCACATTTGTTTAGTCTCATTCTCTCCATCCAGAAAGAAATTTACAAACATTGGCAAATTCTTATCCAAAGTGAACCAAAACAAAATTCTTACCCAGGATTAATAATGCATTTTGAGCTATCCTTGTTTTGCTGGTAAACTGTCTAACAAAGATGTGGATGTATGTCCATGCTACTCAATGGCAATGTGTATAGGGCCAGGATACATATTCTGTGTTTAACCTGGTTTTGTCTTTAACTGCAGCAAGAATAATCATCTTGGACCTGTACAGATGGAAGGGACCTTATGGATCATCGAGTCCAGCCCCTGTCAGGGAGTCATCGTAGGGAATCAAACACTATGGAGCTATCCTGTGAGTGGTGGCATCAGGATCAGAACTACAAAGAATTTAAGCATTGTTTCCTCCTCCCAGTTTGTGGGGAAACCACCACCGCTCAAGGGACGGGACGGCTATTTGGTATTTGTCTTGAAAAGCTAACTGGATAGTTCAAATGAAAGCCAAACAAGGAGTGGCTGGTGTCAGAGTCATAACTAGGGATTTGATCTAGGGCACTAAAATTCAGAGAGTACAAAAGTTTACTGCTGCAGGAAAGGTGCAAAACTGTCAGCTCCTACTTGCTGTTAGGTGGATGCATACCTGCCCACCTGAGTGTCTATGCTACCTGCAGCTGGTTCTCCCTGGACAGAAGGAAACACAAAGTGGGCTTGATCAGTAGTAAATGATGAGGACAGAGCTGAAATTAACAGAATAAAATTTAACAGAGATAAATGCAAAGTTCTATTTCTAAGGAAAGAGACCAAATGCACAGTTAACAAGATGGGGGATACCTCTCTCCGTAATACTACATGTGAGAAGGATCTTGGAATTGTTGTAGCTCAAAAGTTGAATATGAGCCAACAGTGCCAACATAGCTGCAAAAAAGACATTACGTTCCATTAACAATAGTCTACAAATCCCATGATTTACTAGTCCCTTTCTATTCAGCATTGGTTAAGCCTCATCTGGAGTCCTGTGTCCATTTCTGGACATGACACTTTAAGAAGGATGCCCACAAACTGGAGCAAGTTCAGAGGAGGGCAACAAAGGGACTGGAAACCAATCCCTAAGAGGAAAGGCTCAAAGAACTGGACATGTTCAGCCTTGAAAAGTTGTCAAACAGAGGAGGTGGAATGTTCTCAGTCATTCCAGAGTTTAGGAAATGTACTAACCAGCTCAAGTGGCAGCAAGCCAAATTTCATTGGAATATAGGGAAAAAATCCTAGCTGTTAGAGCAGTACAGGAATGGAACCAGTTACGTCAGGGGGCAGTGAGCTTTCCAACACAAGAAAAAGTTAGACAACCACCTGTCAGATATACTTTGATTGGCATTCCTGCATTGAGCAAGAAGTTGGACTCAATGGCCTTTCCAACCACATTAGCCTATGATTCTATGAAACTATGAAGCAATACAACCATCAATCATTCAGACACAGGCATTTCTTCCCTCGCCTTAGGTATGCAAATCTCACATGACTTAAGTTTACCCAATAGTCCTGAAAAGAGATGGGCACAAATCAGTAAAATGGTGATTTGTCTTGATTCATGATTCACCAAAGTTCCCAAATCATGAAAAATGAACATACAATTTTTTCTGATGAATTGACAAATTTGTCAATTTAGTTTTTACTGTAAAACCCTGTATAACACCCACTGGGAACCTAGACACATGAAAATTACAGAGAAGCTTCCTCTGACTCTCCTAAACAAGCCCTGCAAGTTTGGTAAAGTTTGGGTTTTTGATGTCCAAATTATACACCCACAAAGAGCCCCCCCCAAAAAATAAAGTTCTCTCCAGGCGCTTAAAGACACCAAAATCACAGAGAAGCTTCTACTGACTCTCCTCTACAATCCCTCCAAGTTTGGGGAAGATTCGGTTTCAGACATCCGAATTATACCCCCACAAAGTGACTTCCCCCCCCCCAGGAAAGTGCCCTTTAGCAGCTGGCTTGGGGAAACCCAACCTTCACCCAACTTGGAGGGTTTGTAGAGGAGAATCAGGGGAGGCTTTTTTGTGATTGTGGTGTTCCTAGGTGCCCTGGGGCATGTGCATTTCGTAACCCCACAAATCAAGAGGAGAGTCAGGGGAGGCTTCTCTGTGATTGTGGTGTTCCTAGGTGCCCGGACAAAACGCCGGACATGTGCATTTCGTAACCCCACAAATTGACAAATTAAATATAATTAGAAATTCATTAATTCATATTCGTCTGGGACTTTGATTCCTATTAATAGGAATTGGCAAATAAGCAAATTTTAATTAATTTTGCAATTCATTTTTCAATTCGTGTCCATCTCTAGTCCTGAATACTAAAATTGCCAGTTGGGACTTTGGCTGGTGCCTCCTCCTCAGGCAGTGCAGTTTCAAGGGTGATGGGCCCTTTTCTGCACAGTTGCTTCACTGCAAAGATAAACACATACAATATGTTTTCAATGTCATCATGTGTTGAACTGCCCCTTCCAGATCAAAAATGCCAGGGATACAGTTTTTCTTCATTTCTATTCCATGCAAGTATTTCCAAAGCAAAAGCTGCTGAATGTATTAAATTTCAGCTACTCCATAACTTCTTTCAGATCCATTAGGAAGTTAAACATTATTAATTTAAAAATTAGTGGGAAGGTTGGGGGAAGAAACTGCAGTGGCCATTTACTAACACATTTCCCTTAAAAAAAGCAGAACAAAATTGACTCTTCCACAGTCGGTGAATACGTACAAGTGCAAACACACAGAGAGATTATTTGTGCTTGGTGTGTCAACAGATGTTAACAAAGGAAGACATCTGTGTTTCAGCTTTGTAAAGCTAGGGGTTATTATATGATTGAATGCTTGACGTGGTCCATGTTTTTTCTATCCCATAGACGAGAAATGGGGGATCATGAGTCACATTTGCCCGTATTGCCTGTGGAAAAGCCCCATTCAGCCTGCCAGAATGATCAGAGATACGAGATTTGTTGTGCCTTCTTCCATGACGCAGCAAAGTTTTACAAACAAGACACAATCTTTCTGTTGGGGACAAGTAAGGCCTCCAGGCTGCAAAAAGTGACAATTATAACTTTAGAGACATTCTCATATGAGTGGGGTCGGTGCTGAGTCAGGAAGGGTGAGCCTTGCTTTCCCCAACTTTGTGAAAGTCCCCTGAAAAAAAAATCACCCCTTGGAAGAGGTCATCAGGAGTTTTGGAGTGTTGTGTCACCAATATGCGGATGAAACTCAGCTCACTCTCTCTCCTTCCAGCCTTCTGCAGTGGACGCCGTCCCGTCCCTTGAGTGCTGCCTGGATGCAGTGTTGGAATGGATCAGGGACAACAGACTGAGGTTGAACCCGGACAAAATGGAAATCCTGCAAGTGGAGGCCCTTGGTGTCTGTGGTCTTGGGGCAGGGATTTTTCCATGAAAGATGAGGTTTGTAGCTTAGGCGTGCTTTTGGACCCATCGCTGTGATCAATGACATCTCATAAAGCTGTGGTCCCATCTACGTATTTCCACCTACAGCA